TAGAAACGTCGCGCACGACCCTTCCACGACGCAACACCGCCCTTCCCCCACGTGCGACAGAGTAAAGTTCGATTTTTATCATTGACTCACCGCGTGTATGCGCTGGAACGCGCCCATCGTGTCCGACTCGTGAGAGACGCTACGCAACATCCTCCCCCCGTTGAGAGGGTAGCGATCAACTATCCTATAGATTAGTGATCAGATTCGTATGCGTGTTGTGCGTTATAATGTATATATATATATATAATGGAGTACTCCAACGTATAAATTCGTCGACGAATTGCGCATTTGTTACATCGTTTCGAGTTCTATCGCTTGAGATATAGAGACACTATGATACATGTGGTAATTATCGCTTGTACAAATATGACCAATATGACTATGAATACGACTATTTATCGATCGGGAGGGGGCAGAGATAGTTGACGGTTCTCTTCGTCTCTCCAGCTGCGGTTTTCATGGTAACCGCTCGTGTGACACCATCCTCTCCCGTATGTAGTTGTAAGACTCTGCCCAACGTCCACCGTCCACACGGCACGTTTTTGTCCTTTATGAGCACGACGGTCCCGATGTCGAGCTTCGGGCCGTCCTTAGTCCATTTGTGACGCACCTGGAGCTCATTGAGGTACTCGAGGCTCCAGCGTGCCCAAAAATCTTGACGAACCTTAGTGATGTGCTGCCAGGTAGACAATCGGTTGACTGGAACAGCGGATAAGTCGCCCTCAGGGAGAGTCGTTAGTGGTTTGCCGATCAAATAATGGGCTGGAGTTAAGGCGAGCAAGTCATTCGGATCGGATGATAGGCAGGTGATAGGTCGGGAATTCAGGACACCTTCGACTTCGACTACAAATGTGTTTAATTCCTCGAACGTGAACAAGGATTCCCCGATTACTCGCTTGAAATGATGCTTAAAAAGTTTCACCGAGGATTCCCACAAACCGCCGAAGTGCGGTGCGGCTGGCGGTATGAAATGCCATGTGATTCGACGTTCGGACGCAAACCTATTCGTTTTGGCCTTGTGCTCCTCAGAATTGAACAAAACATACAATTCCCTTAATTGATGATTTGCGCCTACGAAATTTGTTCCGTTATCGGAATAAATTCGCTCCGGTAAACCGCGTCTCGCAGAAAACCGTCGCAGAGCACCGAGAAAACCTTCAGTCGTTAAGTCGCTCACGATTTCGAGATGTATTGCCTTTATGGCCATACATACAAATACACATACGTAGACCTTAACGCGGTTTCTATTGCGATGTTTTCTTTCCTTAATATAGAAGGGTCCGCAAAAGTCAATGCCGGTGTTAGCGAATGGCACCGCTTCACACACGCGAGCTGGTGGGAGATTCCCCATTTTATACTCGATCGCGTTAGCGTTGAAACGTGAACAACGAATACAAGTGCGCACGATTTTCCGCACTTGATTCCGTCCGTCCATCAACCAAAATCTTTGACGTAGGATGAATAAGGTGGTCTGAATGCCCGCGTGATAGTGCGTCTCGTGAACTTCGCGAATGATGCTATCAGTTAAATGATGTCGGCTCGGAAGCAAGATCGGATGTTTTTGCGTAAATGTTAAATTTGATTTTTGGAGACGCCCCCCCACGCGAATCAATCCATAATCATCCAAGAACGGGTTTAAATTGGTGATTTTGCTCTTGTTCGTTGAACCCCTAAGTTTGAGTTCCTTGATTTCATTGGCAAATTGAGACGTTTGAAGGATCCGTAATATTCGTTGTTCAGCCTCAATAATCTCGCTTGCGGATAATGAGCCGGTAGACCTAATGGTACGGCGAAAGCGGAGGCAATACGCTATGATTCTGCGCAATTTAGAATAGGAAGAGTATTTGGTGAGAATCCCGATATCGTGTGTCGCCGCTAACAAACAGGTGTTTTTCTTTAATTCTGTTATTTCGACGTCCGTTTGCATGATCTCATTGGGCCACTCATTCTCGTTCTCGACTAACCACGAGGGTCCCGTAAGCCACATTTTGTTTCGCAAAAAAGTATGAGGCAACTGACCTCTTGACAACGCGTCTGCCGGATTGTCTTCCGACTGTACGTGTCGCCATACGTTGGAACCAGTGATGTTCTGAATTTCTGTGACTCGGTTTGCTATGAATGTCTTAAGGAGATGAGGCGGCGTTTTTATCCAATGCAAAACGATGGTCGAATCGCACCAGAAAATGACTCGGTTAGGTGTAACGTTAAATATAGCGCTTGCTTCCCGATATAATTGCGCCAATATTAATGCACCACAGAGTTCTAAACGCGGAATAGTAATAGGTTTTAACGGCGCGACTCTGGATTTGGCGCATGCCAATCTGACAATCGTAGTCTCATTTTCCCTGCTAGATCGAACATACAAGCATGCACCGTAGCCGACACTACTGGCATCACAGAATCCGTGTATTTGAACGTCGTGATAGTCGTTTATTAGCAATTTACGTTCAAAGGTAAAGCGATTTATTGATTCTAATTGTCGAACAAATTCCTTCCACTCCGTATATATGTCTTGTGGGACAGACTCGTCCCATTGTAAACCGGAACGCCATATGTCTTGCATCAGCCTTTTAGCGTATAGAATAATCGGACCGAGTAATCCTATTGGATCAAAAATCCTTGCAATCTCTGATAATATGTTTCGTTTTGTCAATCTTTGAGTAATTTCGATCGGACGGACCGCGTAATGCATTTGATCGTCTCGCGTATTCCATGTTATACCTAACGTCTTTACGGAACGATCCACGTTTAACACGAGATTAGTGTGCAACGCATTGGAGGCTAAATCGTTAACAACGCGCTCGTCGTTGGATGCCCATTGCCTTATGGAGAAGCCACCCCGCTTCAGCAACGCGATCATTTCGTCACGGATGGCACGCGCCTCGGCGATTGTGTCAGCGCCGGATAACAAATCGTCCACATAAAGATGTGTGGTAAGAATCTCGGCCGCTCGAGGATACGCATGACGTTCGTCCTCCGCAAGTTTCTGTAAAACTCGAATCGCGAGGAAGGAAGAAGGCGAAACACCGAATGTAAGCGTGTTAAGCTGAAACGTTTTAATTCTACCATCTACGCGCCAGAGGAATCTCTGATAACGGCGATCCTCTTCGTGCAATGACACCTGGCGATACATCTTTTCGATGTCTGCCGTGATGACGTAATTATATGTGCGGAATCTAATTAAATGCGAGAATAACGTGTCTTGAATTGTAGGTCCTACCATTAACGCGTCGTTCAACGACATTCCGTTGCTCGTCTTCGCCGACGCGTCGAACACCACTCGAACCTTAGTCGTGTTACTCGATTCTTTGATTACCGCGTGGTGCGGCAGATAGTAACCGTCGTCATCAGGATCCTCTATTGCTGACGTATGATGGAGGGTCAAATACTCCTCGATCACTCGCGCGTACTCGTTTCTTAACGCTGCGTTTGAATTGAGTTTACGCTCCAGCGATAATAGACGTTTCAGCGCGATGGAACGCGATTCCCCTAGTCGCGTGTTTGATTTGCGAAACGGTAAGCGAACCTTGTAACGCCCGACGGCATCGCGAGACACCGTTCTTTCGAAGTGCGCTTCGCAATCGATTTGCTCGTCCGATTTCATCTTACCTTCCCTGACTTCTTCAATTGCCCAGAATTTGTTTAATTGATTCTCGAGATTCGTCATGCAACACGTAGGTTTTGCAGGAACTTGCGACGGTACACCGCCTACCACAACCCATCCGAGTCGTGTTTTCTGCAAATACAGATCGTGATCTTCACGCGACAAGTTGATCTGTCCGACGGAGAACAGAGATAAGGTGAGCCCTGAACCAATCAGCAAATCCACCGCGCGTGGTAGGTGGAAACTCGGATCCGCCAATCTAACGTTTGATGGTAATTCGATCGTTTCTCTCGGAAAGACTTCTGAGGGAATTAAATCGGCGATAACCGGAATCACCAGACACGTAAGATCCCTGCGATAATTATCGTGCGTGGATTGCATAGTGATCCGTACCATGCCTCTCGACTCTGTATTTACGTCATTGATCATGCCGACTGACAACGCGCCTTTGCTTACCGGAATGTTCAACCGCTTCAGAATAGATTCCGAAATAAAATTTGCTGTGGCACAAGTATCTAACAAGGCGCGGCACTTTATCGGCTTACGCTCGCTGTCTCGGATATATACCACGGCACTCGCTAGTAATTGTGGCGCGGGTGTATATGACATTATAGTATGATTTACCCTTGCGGTATTAATCGACTCGGCTAGTCATGCGGTCTGTGTATCTATGGTATTAGAAGTGGGAGTTCGATTCGTAACCGGGTGTTTATCTAAATGCAAGAGAGTGTTGTGCTTCCTTTGGCAAATTGTACAGTTCGAAAATTTGCAGGGGCTGTCTCTATGTGAGCGGAAGCAGTTGTAACAAACCTTCGCGTTTCTCACCGTTTCGATACGTTTGGGTATAGGTAGCTGTTTGAACTTGTCGCATAAATACAAGGGATGCCGTTTCGTTTTGCATGCTATGCAATTACGCGCCGCGCTCACGACAAACGCTTGATTCGAGGGATGACTTCGTCTTTTTTTGCTCGAGGGCTCTCCCCTGCTTCCCTCCATGTCGGTTACCTTCGCTCTCTCGCGCTTCGAGACGCAAACCGCGGTTTTATATAAGAACTCGTACATCTGGTCGAGTTCCGGAAACTCGTCTCTTTCGAGAGTCGCCTCCCATTTTTCCAACGTTATCCTTGGTAGCTTGGTCTCTAGCAAATGCACGATCATCTCGTGTCCGACCGAAATTCCCAAAGAGTTTAGCGATGCAACGTGTTGCTGTGCGTCGTCCGCGAGTCTGGACAAACCGTTCGCTGTTTCTTTATCTAGCGCGGGCAAATTTAATAGCAGAGAGAGATGCCGCGATATCAAGATCCTCTTGACCTCATATGACCGTTCTAATAAGCTCCAGGCCTTGGCATAATTAATTCCGTCAATTTCGAAGATCCTAATCTTGTTCGCGGCTTCGCCAGTTAACGCCGATCTAAGGTAATGCAATTTGTCTATTTCCGCGAGGTCCGTTCGCGAGCCTATCATACTGTAAAACGCGTTTTTGAATGATAACCATCCCTCGAATCTACCATCAAACTTTGGTAACGGCGTTTCGGGCAATTTAATCCGCCGTTTCTCAACCGGCGGTACGATGTCACCGCGCCGCACTTCTTCGTTTGATACGCTGGTGCTCGGTTCGGACGTATCTCCCGACGGCGCATTTCCCGGACGTAAAATACTCTCAATTTTTCCCGCCAATGCATAAAATCGCTCCTGGATACCCTCGAACTCTACCCGATGATTTGCGTTAGGATCTAATACCGCGAGTTCATCGTTATGCTCTTCGAAGGCCCGATATAATTGCGTTAAACGCTCGTTTCGCAACCTTAACGTCGCGTTATCAATTTTCCCCCCTTCGACGATATTGGACAAGTTGGTTATTTGGGATTTCAGGGAAGTTCGTTTCTGAACGAGGAATTTGATTTTGTCCGCCATCTCGGCATGCGACGGAATGTAAATGTTGGGAAAGAATGACTTACTCTTACGCCTGTCGAGTACGATCGCACACGTTCCTCCTTCGGCTGACTTGGAAGACTCGCTCTTAACAGATGTGAGGCGGCTCTCAGGCTGGATCCCGTTTCTTGCGTGGATTGAGGCACATACCTCACAGGAGGCACCAAAATGTTCAGTGTCAACACGAACAGTTTCGTGTTCGCGCTGTCTTTTCGCGTAACAACAATAACAAGTAA